AATTAATATTTATAATGTTTAAATATGATGAGCATCAATATACGATAATTAAACCGAAACTCGTTTTCCTACAAACCCGAATTTATTAAAAACAAATCAATTTGTTTAAACAATGTTAAATTATCCCCGAAAACGTGCATTTTCCCGGCCAAAATATGAAAAATAATTTTTGCAATCTCATCGTGACGTACGATGACGTCACTGTCACCTGAGCTACCTGTATAAACGTCACGTGTTTCGGTCCTTTGTGTTCAGTATTAATTTCTGTTTGATGGCGGCAAGATCGTCGCTTCATTTTGGCGTAAAAGTGGAACGTTTTAGTGAATTTCTAGTTTATTATTAATACATATTACGGAAAATATGTTGTGTTAGTGCTGTGAACACGAACGAAAATGGATATTTTTCCGAAAAAGACGGAAAACAGGGTAAGTACGACTTCAGTTTTAATTTATCGGATGCCGTGATTCGTTCACTCGACTTTGTTTAAATTTTGGGGACATTTTCGAAACGATTGAAATCGGTTGATCAAAGCTATACATTTTAACGATATAAATAAATAAATTTTAAACATAATTAATATCACTTATAATGTTTAAATATGATAAGCACAAATATATATGATAATTAAACCGAAACTCGTTGTCCTAAAAGCCCGAAATTATTAAAAACAAATCAAATTGTTTAAACATTGTTAAATTATCCCCGAAAATGTGCATTTTCCCGGCCAAAATATGAAAAATAATTTTTGCAGTCTCATGGTGACGTACGATGACGTCAATGTCACATGAGCTACCTGTATAAAGGTCACGTTTTACGGTCCCTTGTGTTCAGTATTAATTTCTGTTTGATGGCGGCAAGATCGTTGCGTCATTTTGGCGTAAAAGTGGAGCGTTTTAGCGAATTTCAATTTTATTATTAATACGTATTAAGGAAAATTTGTTGTATCAGTGCTGTGAACACGGACGAAAATGAATATTTTTCCGAAAAAGACCGAAAACAGGGTAAGTACGACTTCAGTTTTAATTTATCGGATTCCGTGATTCGTTTGGTCGACAATGTTTACATTTTGGATAAATTTTCGAAACGATTGAAGTTGGTGGGTCAAAGCTATACATTTTCGCGATATAATTAAATAAAATTTAAATATAATTAATAGAATTCATAATGTTCAAATATGATAGCTATCAATATATGATAATTAAACCGAAATCCATCTTCCTAAGAACACGAGGTTAGCAGAAACAAATTAGTTTGTTTAAACATTGTTAAATTAACCCCGAAAATGTACAATTTCTGATCTAAAATATGAAAAATAATTTTTGCAATCTCATCGTGACGTACGATGACGTCACTGTCACGTGAGCTACCTGATAAAAGGTCAATTTTTCCATCCCTGTGTTTAGTTTTGATTCCGGTCTGGTAGCAGCAACACTGAAGCTCCGTTTTGGCTTAAAAGTAGCACGTGTTCGCGAATTTCTAATTTATTGTTAATAAATATTAGCGAAAATGTTTTGTGTTACGTACTGTGAACACGAAGGAAAGTGGATATTTTTCCAAAAATGCCCGATTTTTTTTGAAATATGTTGTTAATAACATGCATTCAGGACTGATAAAGTACGGCTTTGTAATATACAAAGTGCAGCGTTCATAATTCACAAAATACTGTATGCATCATTTTTAAACTACGGCGTCCAAATTTACAAAATACGGTGTCCTTCACCCATGCTATCAAACCCTAGTCCTCTCTTTTAATGGCAAGACGCACTCCAGACCTCCTCGTATTGTTTGGTTCTTGCTGGGCAACAGCAACGAGCGAGCACAGTCATCGCTCTTTGGCGGCAAACGTGGAGAAATTTGTATATTGTAACTTTTGTAATTGAAGCATTTTGTACTGTATATTGTATATGTTACTAACTTAACTTGGGTCTTGCCAATTTAGCTCCAGTGGTGCAAATGCTTTGTTTTCACGATGCATTTGCTTGGGTTTTAATTTTGCAACAGTGCATTCTTTGGTTCCGAGACTGAATTCTCCATGTCGTCAGACGCTTTGGCCTGGGGGGGTTCTTTTGGCCCTTAGACGCTGGGTTGCATCGTTCTTTGAGAATGAGGTAAGACGACCTTGGATTTATGCGGCTGCGTTCTCCCTTGGGCGTGTGAGCGCTGCGACCAATAGATTTCGTCCCGAGTTCCATCGGTGTGCTTGCTTGGGTTTTCATTTTGCAACATTCTCAATTTTGGGTGCAATTTCTTCCGGTGGTGTATTGGGTACTAACTTTGCATTTGTATTGTATCTGAATTGTATCTGTATCTGTAGTGTATTCTGCATTGTAGCTAGATTGTAGGTACCTGTATTGTATTTCCGTTGTATTGTACTGTATAACGTTCTATCCCTCATTAACAATTCCTAGCCCTCTCCCTTCCTAGCGAGATATGCTCCAGACCTTCCCGTGGTTCTTGCTGAGCATCAACTATCGAGGACAGAAAATTCAAATTCAAAACCAGCAAAGTTTCACAAAAATCATGAAAATCGCTCGTTGGTGGCCAACGTGGAGCAAAAGAGACTTTTGTAACTCAACTAACTTTGCTAACTCTATATTCTTAAGGAAACAAAAATATAAATATATTACATTTAATTTATCATTTATAAGGACAAATAGTCATTTGGCACGCCGATGCTCATTTTTAGATTAAATGCTCACAAAACGCGTAAATGTTCAATTTGTGTCCGGGGAGATACAATGTTTGCAAGTAGATACACAGTACATCGGGTAGATGCTCAGGTATATAAGAGTAATAATGAAGTAGGTACTTCGTACTTCGAATATGAGTATCTACTCAGTTTTATTCATACCACCCAATGTCTCGCTTCAGTGTTTGATTATGTTGATTATGAGCACAACGCTGATCAACTTCCGTATCCGAATTACCCATGAAATAAATCATTGGGATTTGCACCTGAGGTAGTTCGTCGCACATTTCATTGACTTCGTGGACCTATGTCAGCTTGTCGTCTTCTCGGCATTGTAATGAACTTCATAAAACGACACAGAATTATTTTCACAGTCAATCAAATCTGTAAATTTTGTCTTGAGAATTTTAAAATATTGAAAATTTCAAATTAAATCCTCGGTAACGGTAAAGTTTGAGGTTTTGTCGAAACCAACAAAGTGAATATAGGTAAATAGAATGGCAGTTCAAAATTAATAAGAAACTTTCGCAATGCGTAACTGAATTCACTTTAACGAACACTTTTCTTAAAATAAGCGACGTTTTTTGTTACGAAAAAACAAACAACGACTTGAAATGCAATAATACTTTTGACAATCGCACGGAAGAAATAGTTTTGTGTGACACGTCAGTCAGGCGACAGGTCCGTCAGGAATGGCCAACTATTCAAATTCATTGAAAGTGGCGATTCCCGTGCAAAATTTTTAAAATTTTTTTATCTTTTAGCTGTCTCATTTTTTATAAATATTCTTACATATAAACCTTCTCCTGACGATAAGGAACACGTAAAAAAAAGAATCGTCCAATTCGGTGCGGTCGTTCTCAAGTTATGAGCGTACATACATTTCGGTGATTCATTTTTATTAATATAGATAAGACTGTAAAACTATTGTCGTGGACCTTGTGCCCGACATATAGCGAAAATATTATTTATTTGTTCGTAAGCTGGTTCGTGATGATGGTAACACATTTTAGTGACTGGACAAAGGGAATACTTCAACTAAATGCATTTTGCTTAAATTTAATTTAGAAATGACTATTTACAAAAGAGATTTAATTTACAAGAGAATAATTTGGTATAACAATTTTTTAGTGTAGTTTAACATGCGAATATAATTAACAAAAAATGAACTTCAGTATTAAATCATTTTTAGATAAATCCAAGAAAACATTGTAACTATGAAACCAAATCTTTGAAAGCATTAAAAAATATATATAAAACAAAAATATAACAAAACTCAATATTGGTAACATGACTCAAAATTTTTGTAAGGAACATTATAATAGTTGCGTGGTCGGCGTTCATCAAACAATATAACTGTTTAACCAATAATTTTAATACAAATTAATCTTTAAAAATATAAAACTCAAAACGTTATCCAATCGAAAATACAAAGGGCGATTTATCATCAAAATTAAACTGAACTTTAAAAATATTAACAAAAACAAAACTTTAAACATTTTAGGAAACCATGCACATTTTTGGAGATATCAATCCTTACCCTTTGTGTAGCAACACAAACACACACTAAACTGGCAACTGGTTAGAGAACTCTGGCCTTTAATGGACCTTTTGGTGTTTTATAAGTGAAGAGAACTTTGCAAAGGAGTTGTTTTTGCAAAGTTGTTTACTAGTTAACAGTCTACATAAAATATCATTTTGTTTGTTTGTACATCGCTCTGAGAGGTACGTTGAGAATAAATGTTCCAAAATTAGAGTCATAAAACATATGAAACAACACAAAGTCAGCGTAAAATCCCATTTGCCCCTTCGAATTCACGACGACATTTATTTCGCTGATTATTTCCAAAGCGATTCAATCTTCAAAAATTTAAATCATGAATACTGCCAAAAACTATGTTATAATTCCAAAGGTGAATTTATTTAAATTGAGATAATAATTTTGTGGATAACAACTTATTTGTCAGACTTGTTAAGGATTTAATAAACGCAGTTTAAAACTTCAAAATTGAATAAAAATATTTTGCTTGAATATATGTATATAATTTACAAAAAAGAAAAAAATCGCCAATGTCACTAGTATCAGCCATTTTTATTTTTGTGTACAATTGTTAGTATTATACGAATGCTAGGAAATATTTGAATCTTCGTGTTTCCCGGGAACGGGCTCACAAGGCCACACCCGTTCCGCAAATATTGCTGGAGTTTCGTTACTGATATACTGTGGTTACAGTTATACACTTTGCGGCACATAGTCTACATTACTTCCCACGTCTGTCGTTATTGAAGTTGAAATATCGTTCTGCGGGTTGCATAACCACAACTTTCGGTTGATTGAGGTTATGTCGTGTCGTTATTTAAACTTTGAACACTATTATCTAAATTTTGGTAAAGAAAATCACCAACATTGTTCCAGTTTTAACAATAATGATTTTAGGTCAGATCGCAGTTGTAAATATTGAAGTTTACCCACTGGTGACACAATCCAAAAGATTTGCTTTTATATTGCATTAAAGTAAAATGTTCAATGAATTTTCGAAGAAGTTTGTTAACCAGAGATCTTCGCCAAAAAATGTGCACCACTGTACTGTCTGTCCATACTTCACATCATCGATGCTTTTTATGGTGAACCACGTTCGGCGCCATCGTACTTCTTTGTTACCTTTTAACTGTGAAGACGCCTCTGTTGAATCTTATTGTTGCAAGGACTGTGGTTTCCAAACTTACTTTACAGTTCTTTTCAAGTACCACTTTAGGAAGCATCATAACATCAAAACAAAAAACTGGAAAGATTCACCAGATGAAGAATTCATCATTCAGAACTATGTTTGTCAAAAATGCAACTTTGAAACACATTCTCTAGTTAAACAGCTCCAACATGCTGTTACATGTTTTGATCAAAAAGGAACTCCCCAAGAATTTGATTGTGTAAATGATGTTGAAAACAATGTGGTCAAAGATTTGAAAAGATACTTAATTTCACATCTGGATAAACCAGATATTAAGTGGTATAATTGCAAAAACTGTCTATTTAAAACTAAAGACAACTCCACTTTAAGAAGGCATATAAATGCGATTCATTTAGATGATCAAAGTGCTAAATGGTATGAGTGTAAAATGTGTCCATACAAAGCTAAAACAAATTACAATATGAAAAGACACAGAGTTGTGCATCATTTAAAAGAACAGGATATTGAGTGGAACAAATGCAAAAAATGTCCATTCAAAACCAAACGCAAAGAATCGTTAAAAACCCATATAATTTTTCGACATTCTGATGAAAATGATGTTAAATGGTATGAATGCAAAAAATGTCCTTATAAAGCCAAAGTAAAGTCCCAGTTAACAAGTCACGTGAAGACAAATCATCTTGATGAAGAAAATATCAAATGGTATGATTGTAATCAGTGTTCATATAAAGCTAAAGGGAAATATGCTTTAAAAAGGCACATGAATAGACGTCATTTGGACGAAAAAAACATCAAATGGTGCGTATGTGACCAGTGCCCTTACAAAACGAAAAGCACGGCTTATTTAAAGGAGCACATCTATAGGCGGCATTTGGACGAGCACCAGATTAAATGGTATGAATGTCATCAATGCCCCTTCAAAACCAAAACAAACTGCCAATTGCAAAAACACATTAATGCACACCATTTGGATGAATGCCATATTAAATGGTATGAATGTGAAACTTGTCCATACAGAGCTAAAAATATGTCTACTTTAAAAAGGCATATTAGAGTGCGTCATGTGGATGCAAATGATATTATGTGGTATAAATGTGAAAAGTGTGTTTTTAAATCTAAAGAAAAATCAGGCTTGAGAAGACATATACGTAATCGCCATCTGGACCAATAGAAGATTAAAATGAATGTAGCAATATAACGATATGCAGAAAGTTTTTTAAATAAATTTAATTTTTCTGTTTTTTTGGTTGTACCATCGCCAACCCCATACGGACCTACCGGTTTTTCCTTTTTCATCGTTAAAATTGTACTGATGACAGTGCATAGCGAACTTTTAATCCGCCTCTTCCCTCTGGAGTGCAGCGGAGGAAGATTAATAAGTTTGCGGTGGACAGTGTTCCTAGTGGTGACGTCTATTGACCACAGTTTTTACTAATAATAAATTTGGAGATTAAGTGAAACATAAAGATTTCAAACCAATGAAATGATAACAGAATAAACGGTATTTCATTAAAAACTCAAAATTTTAAAAGGTAAGAAATGTAATGTAGAATTGGAAGCAGAAGTAAATATTTTCATTACAGTTTTAAGACTTCCCTAGTCAACGGTTCGTTCCGAACAGAGGTTTTTTTTAACAAATCTGTTTACTCCTGGCAGATATCGAGAACAGGTTTAAACTAGTCTCTGGATATACTTTAGAAAAGAGCTATGACACGGACATTTTCTGTCTTTGTCTTTTTACTTCCCAAGCGTAAGCAAAGAAAGTATTGTAATGTAATCGAGTCCGTCGGCCGATTCTTTACTTTTACGTTTTCTCGACCCTTCATTACCCCAACAGGACGAAGAAATAGGTCCCCCGTTTCCGTCTGTCTGTCCGGATTTTTATTAGACAGATAATCTCCGAAAGTACTGGACTGATTGTTGTCAAATTTTGATGTATATGTATGTATATCAAGAATATCATGTAGATGGTAAAACGATAATCAAAATATCTGTAATCATCCCCACCACTAATGCGATGACGTCACTTCAAAATTGTACGTAGTAAATGGGTTTTAAATTGTATAAAATAACATAGTCCTACACATGTAGTTTACAACTCCCAATTGAGTTTTCACCCGAAACGTCCAGATTTTTGGAAAAAAAAATCAAAATTATAAAACAACATTTTGAAATTTAATTTTGAATCTGCTAACCCGAATGCTTTGAAATCTTGCAGATGTTTTAAGGCTATGAAGAGCATCGTAAGTCTTTAGTCAAAATATATTTGGTTATCCCCTCCAAAAACTTGATGACGTCAGCTCAAAAGTTTGCCGAATAAATCCTATCTGAAATGTACAAAATATGATGAGTCTGTACTTGTGATCTATCACTTCATTCAAATTTTTTGGATTTGCATATACAGGGTGACTCAAAAAAATTAATGAATGCGTACATTTATTTTACTGATTTACTCAGGAACTACAAAACCGAATGCTTTGAAATCTTGAAGGTGTTTTAAAGTTATCATAAGCATGGTAAGTTTTTGATCAAAATGTATTTGCTCATCCCCCTAAAAAAATTATGACGTCACCACAAAATGTTGCCGAATAAATCCTATCTAAAATGTACAAAATATGGTGAGTCTCTTCTTGTCATTTATAATTTCCATTCAAATTTTTTCGATTTCCATATGCAGGGTGACTTAAAAAAATTAATGAATGGGTAAATGTATTTTATTGATTTAATCAGGAACTACAAAACCGAATGCTTTGAAATCTTGCAGATGTTTTAAGGTTATAATATTTTTTGAATTTGCATATACCGGGTGACAAAAAAAATGAAATCTACTGCGTCACGTTTCCGACAGCGAGGGAAGTACTGTCTAAACTCTTTAGACCAATTTTTTAGATTTGCTTATACAGGGTGTCTCAAAAAAATTAATGACTGAATCAATTTATTTTATTAATTGAATCAAGAATTGCAAACTGAATACTTTGAAATCTTTCAGACGCTTTGGGGTGCTTTGGGGTTGTTGTAAGCATGGTAACTTTTTAATCAGAATGTACCTGTGTATCCACCCCAAAAAATTGATGATGTCATTTCAAAATTTTGCCGAATCGTGTCCATTTGCTTATCGGCGAAGTAACCGTCCCGCAAAGAATTCGGCCATTAAGCACGTACAGATGTTGCTTGGCCCGAATAAGCGGCGGTGGCAGACAAAAAGTACATGCGCATCTGTTTAAAAAGAAAATGAACTGTGACTGATTTTTTTAATTTGCTTATACGGGGTGCCACAAAAAAATTAATGACTGAGTCAATTTATTTTATTTATTAAATCAAGATTTGCAAAACTGAATATTTTTAAATCTTGTACACGTTTTGAAGTTATTGTAAGCATGGAAACATTTTAATCAAAATGTATCTGTTTATCAACCCAAAAAAATTGATTACGTCATCTCAAAATTTTGCCGAATAAATCCTTTGGGAAATTATTATTATTATTATTATTGTAAAATGCGATCGGGCAGAGGTTACTACCTGTTATGCCCGCGCTCACTAATGGGAGTACTCAATAAATAAACTTTCGAAGTAGATATGTTTAACTACGATTAAGGTTTTCGTCAATAATATGATTATCGTACTTCATTTTAAAGGTGGCTGTATTTGTACTTTGTACAACTTCTGTAGGTAGAGAATTCCAGGCATTAAACACTCGGTTAACAATGAAGAACTGTCTAACAGTGGTCCGAAACTGGTCTTTAAGAAGTTGGTATGAATGCCCTCGTGTTCGTCCGTCTGTATTGAGAGGAAATAAATGCTTTATCGGAGCGTAGCTCGTCTATGAACAGACTCGAGAAGATCTTTGTCGTAAGATCGGCCTAACATATGTTTTAAACAATTTGGAAAAAGTTAACGGATCACTTTTATATTTTACTTATGAAGTAAAGTACTTTACTGGCTTTTCTTGTAACTTGACTAATATGCTTGGACCATGATAAAGTGGAAGTTACCAGAACACCCAGGTCAATACAGGATTCATGCCTACTGAGCTCAACGTTATTAATGTAATACAGATGTCTTGGATTGTTTGCTCCAACAGACAACACTTTACACTTGTCGATGTTAAGTGACAGTAAGCATTCACTTGACCAAGTATGGACTGCTAAAAGATCCTTACACAAAACTAGATGATTATTCGCTGAATTATAAATTTTTAAGTCATCAGCAAACATCACAAAAGGAGATTTCAATCGAACACCTAGGTCGGCTGCATAAACTGTAAATAAGAGTGGACCAAGAACTGATCCTTGCGACACACCACTTAAAACCCTAGTAATTGAACTGCAAGCGTCCCCAACCTTAATTGTGAAGCTACCCCAGTAACATTTTATATGTAATAAATATTGAACTTCTAACATTTAAATAATATGGGTAACGACAGATTTTTTTTTAGAAAATCAGTATTGGTTTTAAATATTGAATATATATTTATTTTCAATGTTTAATACTTATTTAGTTCAGAACATTTTATCATAAATGTTCTTCATATGAAAGGGGATATAAAAAAACTTGCATGGAATACAATATAAAATTTATTAAACACAAAAAAACATTGTCACTGGAAATAACAGTGTATTTGAAACGTTGCGGCAATATTTATACATTTAAAAATTATTTGTCCTAGAACCAATTCGTTGAAAATTTGTACCAGGTGATTTTTTTTTATTTCTGCTGTAGTTACCCATGACACTTATCTCAGCAGTGAAACTGAAACTGCTGGCATAGGCTTCATGGGCAACCAGAGCATAAATTTAAAAAATCACCTGATGTGAAACACAATATAAATTTTTTAAACATAAAACTACACTGCCAACTTACAATGAAATAAAAATACATTGTCAATGGAATTAACAATGTTCTGCTACATTACAATCGTTATACAGAAATATTTATTTAATAATTATTTGCTCTATAACCAATTCATTGAAAAGCGATATAATTAATTAAAATAAAAAAAATCATACCTCATGTTTTTTTCGATGAGAATTCATTCTTGCTTTTGTCTGCGCTTAATGAGGTCCTACCATTTTTTAAATTTCAGTAGTTGTGGCGTTTTTGTGACGTTTCCGTGTGGTACCTACAATTAAATTAACTTACAAAGTTCGTAATTTTTAGGAAATCACATAACTTGACATATTGTAGCCTTGTTAATTGTGAGTTCACTAAAAGAGAGCTTATTTTTTTCCTTGCCCTGAAAACTTGAAAGCAATTTGGTTCATTATTAATAATTTCTTCAAAATTGCATACATGTTTTTTTACGTCTTCTCTTCCTGACAAATAAACATTATTATCTGTCTGAAACCAGTTTATAAATACTAGGAGTTAATAATAATAATAATAAATGCTTACCAATTCATCCAATTTCTGCGTATCTCGCACAATTTCTAACTCGATTTCTTCTTTTTTTTTTTAGTTGCGCCCGGACATTCATCATTTTGTCTCTACATTCATAATATCCTTATATTCAGAAATATTAAACCTCTTATGAGAAATTGCATTTTCTGCATTACATGTAGAAGTGAGGTTATGTAGGTTTAGTACTGCTTTCTTGACAAAACGGTATCTACTACAGTATTCTGAATTTATCGCAGTACCGATAATCACAATTCACAATAGGACAAACACCATGAACTTACACAAAATACTTTTTGAACCACCAACAATAACAGAAAATATGTACATGTTGCACAATGCGCAAACGCGTTCCAGCAGAGCAAACGCATCTGTAGATGAAACGCAAATTTAAGTAAGTTTTATAAAAATGATGAATAAAATTGTTATTTTTTGTTCGCAAAAATAAAAAAAATATTACTTTTTAATGAGCAATTAATAGTGTGCAAAGCCAGATTTCGAATAGTGTCAATTTCACAATAGCTGGTATTTTTTCAAATCAATTTTTAATATTGCTCCAATATAAATCCTATGAAATAAGTTACCTACAACATGGTACTTTTTTTTTCATTTTTGTTGTTCGGTATCTTGATAAAAAGACGTTTCATAAATATGTAATATATGTTGAAATTCATATATAAATTTATAAATATAAAATGAATATTATAAAAATATTTGTAATATCTAGTCAACATTTAATATTATATCATTCTTGTATAAATATTAGAAAAATATTGCTTGCTACTAGGGTACGATTAGAGGGGAACGCATCGATCCAATGCAAAAGTTTCCCTCGTATTCCAAAATAATGCAACTTATGGAGAAGACGACGTTTAGGCACACGGTCAAACGCCCGGGAAACATCTATGTATATTACATATATCAGTGGGGATATCTGTTTCAGAATTCCTTGTCCAATCTGATAAACAACAAAGCAAATTGGTAACAACTGATTTACCAGGAATAAACCCATGTTGTTCAACGGGAATAATTCTGTTGTCCAGAAGAAACTTGAACGTGAAAATTTATCTCCCTTCTTAAATATGAGCTTGACGAAATCTGTCAACCAATCGGGAGGTAAAGTACCAGAGTTAAAAGACTGAGTAAACAAAAAACTAATCGGTTCACATAAGGAGGTAGCACATTCTTTCAGAACTTTTCCAGTTATATAATCCTGTCCTGGAGACTTTGTCGTTTTCAATTTTTGCAAGAGCTTCAATACCGTCTCAGGAGTGAACTGAATCTCATAATGTGGACGGAATTTGGTTCAAAATGTATGTCGGCAAACTTTGCATCAGGCTCTACTATGAAATTTCGAGGTAGGTACATCAGGTCAGCTAGGGAGCTGTTGTCAGAAGTTAAAATTAAGTCTAATAATGAGGGTTGCTGATTAGGCCTGTAACGAGTCCGTTGAGACACAATTTGATTAACATGTGAATTATTAGTCATGTCTATAAGTAATTGCGAAGAAGTATCGCGAGACTGCTAGGAAGTGGCGGTCCAGTCGATGGAAGGCATATTAAAATGTATTATATGTGTGTGAACGTGAGTGTGAGTGTACAACCAAGCGCTTAGCTCTCCAATGTTCTGTGATTTAGTGGGTTTTTCGTTGTAATTTATACTAAAAAGTGGTGCCGTTAGAAAGCGTTTCATGCAGCAGTTAAGGTGGTAATTAGAACATCGCCTTTTTTTTATGATTAATGAAGTAAAAATCACTTCTTGTCCCGTCTAATTGTGGTTATAATATCTTATCGTAACTTTTTCTGTGGTATAGCTGACTGAGGTTTTTAACGTAGATGTGAATGATTTAGTCCACCCGATAAATTTCTTACTGTATCTTTTTCTACTGAACTGAGGTTGACTTGCATTATTTACTATCTTTGATTTGATATAATATTGGCGTATCATATAACCCCCTCTGGGGGTTTGTAAGAAATGGCGATTAGGTGTAAGAAATGCAATAAAAATATAGGGAGGAATGATGAGTATATTAACTGTCGGCAAACATGTGGTGCGAACTATCACATATCATGTGTTAACCTTAGCAAATCTGCATTTTCTTCATTGAAAGAAAGTAGATTAATTAATGAATGGAGTTGTAGTCTATGCAGTACATCCTCTCTTACGGTTGATGATTGTCAAAAAAATGAGTTAACTGCTTCTATTCCAAGTTCTGTAACTAGTGACAGTCTGAATATACTGCCCGATACACTAGCAACTATCTTCAATGACTTTTCCTCTGCCGTTAATAAAAACTTTTTCATACTTAGGCAACAAATTACCGATTTAAAAAATGAAAATACGAAGCTCCGAGAAGAAATCTCCAAACTAACTGCAAAGTTGCATGTTGAAGTCCCTCAGGTTGTCACTGATACCGTAAAGTCTCCTTCCTATTCAGACACTCTTAAAAATACTACTGCAGTTGTAATAAGACCTAAGGACGTTACGCAAACCATAGCAAAAACCAAATCTGATATCATATCCAACATTCAACCTGATAGTGAACCGGGCATTGCAAAAGTTAAATTTATTAAAAATGGTGGTATAGTTCTTAATTGTGAACATCCTAGTGAACTCAAAAAATTATCTCAGTTAAAAGACTTGAGTGATAAGTATGAAATAAGCGACTTAAAGACTCCAAAACCGAAGCTGCGCATTTCTGGCATATCCAGTGATATTGATGAGCAACAGATAATTCCATTTCTTATTAAACAAAATAAACATATCTTCAGTGAATCTTCTCAGTGCAAAATTCTTAAATACTTTCCTATAAAAAATCGTAATAATTATTTTCAAGTCATATTAGAGGTTAACATCTCTACATACAAAAATGCTCTTCTTTATGGTCATTGCCTAATTGGGCTTGATGGTTGTAACATCTATGACGCTATTGATGTAATTAGATGCTTTAATTGTAATGGTCTTAATCATTCGTTAAAGACTTGTAAAAAAAAAAATCTCTTGCCCTAGGTGCTCTGGTCCACATAGGGTAAATGATTGTCATGCTACTAATGAACAACTGCGATGTATCAACTGTGTTAGCATTCAAATTAAAGACAATTTAAGTGATGAGGACATTTCCCATGCTTGCTGGGACATTAACAACTGTTTTTTTTATAAACGGACTATTGAGAAAATCAAGTTAGATGTCTTTGGGATATCTAGCTTGTAGCAATTAAACTATTTTCCTAACTTAATTTCTTCCTCATCAGCATCATCTCCAGCAATATCGAACAAGAGTGTAGATAAAGGAAATATATCTCTCTATTATCAAAATGTTCGTGGTCTCAATTCCAAGCTGTTGCGGTTCTCCAATGCTGTAGCTGCCTGTGCCTATGATTTAATCGCACTTTCTGAGACATGGCTGCACAGTGGAGTTAATGACAGTGAAGTCTTTGACCAAAACTATGAAATCATTAGAAGGGACAGAGACTTGTTGCGTACCAACAAACAGACAGGTGGTGGTGTGCTTATTGCGATTAGATTGGGACTCCATTATACTGAAATTAATCTATCTAACACTCCTTTTAATAACCTTCACCTTATTGACATTGTCTGTGTTAAGGTGTTGATTGCTTCTTTATCTATCACAATATTTGTCCTATATATTCCTCCTTCGTTGGCATTAGATTACTATCAATTAATCTTTGAGGCGTTTGTAACGTTAGAGCTGTTGGATGACTCCAATATTCTTATAATTGGTGACTTTAATATACCTGAATTTTTTTCATCTCTTAGTAATCCTCATTGTATAAAAAGTTTGGAATTGTGTAATTTTATGAAAATGTTTGAACTGAAACAGTTTAATACCATTTTAAATTGTGATAATCGGCTTCTTGACATCGTCTTATCCAATATGTGCTGTTCAGTATTAACTTCTGATGATCCATTTGTAGATGAAGATCCACGTCATCCTTCTCTCCATGTAGGTGTATTTGTGAATAACATATCATCAAGCAATTTTCTGAAAGCAGCGTCTAATGGAACCAGTTACAATTTTCGTAAGGCCAGTTTTCTTAATCTATATGAGGATATTCTAAATACTGATTGGTCTCTCCTTAATAAATCCACTGATATTAACTCTGCCTGTTGCTTATTTTATGATCTAATATATAAACTGTTCGATAAACACATACCTATGTATAAAAAAAGGGAATATACCTACCCTGCATGGTTTTCACCTGAAATTATTCGGCAGGTTCGTTCAAAAAATCAGCTTAGAAGGAGATATTTAAAGTACGGAAATACAGCTGATGCGCTTGCATTCAGGGAATTGAGACGTAGCATTAAGCGAGAAATATCAATAGCTTATAATGCATTTATCAAGAATTCTGAAGACATGATTAACACAGATCCGTCAACTTTTTGGGGTTATATACGACGTAAAAGACGACACACCGGGATACCATCTTGTGTGACTCTTGGTGATACTGTTGTAACAGGAGCAAAAAATATTGCTAATGCGTTTGCACAATTTTATGAATCAACCTATATCCCTAGTTCTAGCTGTAACCTTAACAAAGTTAAATATGACAATACAAATGTGAACATAAATGTGTCTATCATAAGTGAAAATGAAGTGCTTGAAGCTATCAACAGAATTAAATCGAACAATGTTCAGGGTCCTGATGGTATACCAGCATTTATCATAAAAGATTGTGCTCGGGTTTTAATTAAACCGTTATCTGTTCTTTTTAATCTCTGTGTTAACTTAGGAACATTTCCAGATTGTTGGAAGCTTTCCAAAATCATTCCTGTTCATAAAGGCAAAATTCGAACTGCTGTTGAAAACTATCGACCTGTCTCAATTCTTAATAATTTTGCAAAAATCTTTGAATCTTTAATTTATAAACAACTGTATTTTCAAGTAGCCGCTTCAATTACAGAGCGTCAACATGGCTTTATGAGTGGCCGCTCTACAGTTACAAATCTTCTTTGTGTGACACAGTTTATCGCAGACTCTATCGACTGTGGACTACAGACCGATGTAATATATCTTGATTTTTCAAAGGCTTTTGACAAACTAGATCATGGTATATTAATTGATAAACTTTATGCTTTGGGCTTGAATATGCAATTAATTACCTTTTTTGGGTCGTACTTAGGTGACAGAAAACAATATGTCCATTGCTGTGGATATGATTCTGATGTCATTACTGTTTTATCGGGAGTACCACAAGGTTCTGTACTTGGTCCGCTTCTTTTTTTATTGTTCATCAATGATATCTCGAATGAATTAGATGTTG